TGCTCCTCGATACAGGACCAACACTCACACGCGCACGAAGATGGTCACGCAGACTGTGTGTCCGCCAAGTGCACAACACTCGCTCAAATGGTGAAATGGTCCTATTCTGTTCCCGACCAAACTTTTCCTTTGCAATAAACTGAATCTAGAATTGACATTTCATTTTTTTTTTAATCCATCTGTGACGAAAAATTCAAAGCAGTGTCTGTCCGCCAATTGTATATCATACGCTACTATGCTGAAATGTTTGTTGTTGCCAGCCAAAGATTCGTGCGAAATAAATGACTGGAAGGCAAGACGCGTTGAATTTCCAAGCAAAATCGACGCGTCATTTGGAAAGATAGGAACCCGAAGAAGCTTTAGGTCAAATATTCAACACTAAAATTGTTAACTGAATATTTGACTTTAGGTTTTCAAAAGAAAATTAATGATAAAACAATTATTCACACAGAAATATTCGGAAAAGATATATGCATTATGCAAAAAAGACGTAAATTCCCACAAAAGTAAAAAAGGAAAAACTCGGGGTTAGGTTTTCATGACAAACTCTTTGGCTCAAGGACACGTACAAGTATTCGCATTCACCATGCACAGTAATATGTACATAAATACCTACATACACACATGTACACATACGCACACATACATAAATACGTATATATGTATATATTATGTCTATGTGTGTGTATATATATGTATGCATATATGTATGCATGTGTATATAAACATACATATGCATACATGTGTGTATATATATATATATATATATATATATATATATATGTATGCATTTTTGTATGTATAAAGGAGTATGGCTATCTACACACTCGCGCACACAAGCACACTCACACACACATATATATGAGTATGTCTATGTATACACACATATATACACAAACATATGTATACATATATGTATGAATATCTGTCTAACTAAGCACACACACACACATAAACTAATAGACTACAGAAAATTCCACTGATTTACAATTTTATGAATATCCCTTTTCTTAATATCATAGTTCTGAAAATTGAGTCTTGAAGATACCGAAAGAATTAATTTTATAGCAAAACTGTCATAAAGTTTGGAAGGAGGATATGCATTAACTACATGATTATGTCTAGTATCTTAATACACATTGATTTTTTAAAACTTTTCATTAGATCTCATTTTTGACATAAGATTAACAAATAAAAAAAACAAAAAGAGAACTGACACTTAAAAGCGAGATCAGATGATTCTTCAAAACTCCGCAATTGTAAAAGCCTTTTAAAGCAACTCAGCTAAAGCAGAAAATGGAGGTTATATTTTCCTTCTGAATTCAGACATTATATCATAATGCATTATCGAAAGAGAAAACAGGAAACAACAAAGAAGTTATATTTATTTATTGTCAATGTTCATACGAATTATCTTAATTTGTTTGAAGCAGAAAGGATGTGACAGCAAAAGCTTCTTCGTCTGTTTATTTGATATGGTTCTTTTAAAAGGTGTTTTTACTCAATAATGTAAATTCATACCAGCAATGTTTTCCTAAGCATAGCTGCAGAAAACTCTTAGGAACAACGAAACAAAAGCGAAATGAGCACGTGCCATCCTCCTCTCGTCTCCTCTCCCACCTCCCCCAGTTTCCTCTGTTTTAGCTCACCTTTGACTGTTTTGCTTGTCCAGCATAAAAGGCCCACTCTGTGACAGGAATGCTGTCACTCTCCTTTCAGTCTGACAAAACAAAGGACATGTATACCTTCCTCCTGACGCTGTCGCTGCTGAGCTCCGCTCTCGCAGGCGGCCTCTACCCTCCATCCGCCATCACGTGTCAGCCTCGAACCGAGCAAATCACTCTTACCAGAACCACCGTAGAACCCGTTGTTGAACAAGCAACCACGCTGAACCTGCAACACCAACATCACGACGTAAAGGTGACCAGTTTCGTGGTGGAAAGGCCCACTTTCACGCAGACCTTGCAAGTCACGCTCACGCCCGACCCTTCCATAGTCACCGAAGTCAGCTTGGTCACCTCAACGGCCTTCCGGACCAAGCTGGCCGTCGCCCGAACCACCACCGTCCTCACCGAGACCGTGCAGCTTCTGGCCAGCGAACTTGCCGTGGAGGACAGGACCCTCACGCAGACGGCGATACAGCTGGACACCAAGACGCACACGCTGACGCGGTTCAGCCTGGAGACGGCCTTCTCCACTGTCTCCGTCACGGACACTCAGATGGTACTGGTCACCGAGACCGAGAATGTGCCTCATTTTGTCACCCAGACCACTCGCCAGACCTTCGTGGTCTCCGAGACCAAAACGGTCACGAGTTACAAAGATCTTCAGCTTGAAAAGACGGTCACCGTTACAGAGCACCAGTACGTTACCAAATGTTACCAACCCAAGATCACTTATGGATACTAAATTAGAACCATAGTTCATAACCATGTGAAGATTTTTTATCATTATGTAAAGATGAAATATATCTATAAAGAACTGTTCTGCAACTAGATGTTTCCTTTCACCATCAAAAGGACACGACAAAGTTCTAAAGTGTAATGTTTCTCTCTTTTTACCAAAACCGTATTCCCTTTCACTCATTCGCCTCTCCTTCCAATGACTATGTTGGCCAAGCAATTACTGCGTTT